GACAGAAATACACAGTGTTAGAAACAGCATTTGTATTCAGCAGCTGCTCTGGCTTCGTGTAGAGGTGACCCAAGCATATGGACCCTCAGGTGTAAAGCCACAGAATTCACTCTTTCTTTTCTAAGATGTAAAGGTGTGGAAAGGATGTTTATTTGGATCAGTGAAAGTGGGCAATTTTATAAAATAAAAATATTAATATACATACAAATCAGCTAGTTAATGAAAGCAGACCTTACCCAATTCCTAAATGCAAAGATTTTTTTTTAAATCATTTTGTATCGTCATTATTTGATTTAATCTCTCTTTTGATTATGAGCTTAGAGCTGATCATTGCACAATTAACCACCTTCTGGGAAAGCATCAGCTGCTAGGTGCAAGTGTTGGGTCAGCCTGCAGTCCTGACAAAAATGCTTTAAACGTCTGAGGGAGATTTAGGGAGCGAGGTTGATGGCTTCAAAAATCTTAGAAGTTGAGGTGCTCTCAAGATTCTAACTTCCCTGAAGTGACTTTTTTTTTTATAAAACGCACTGTAGAAAAAAATAGATTCTATCATGAGATCCATTGTTAGGAACTTCTCCTGCAGTTTTGCTGTTCTGTACTAGGTTCTTTATGTCTAGGATTATGGCTATGGCCTTGGAAGAATTATTTTCTCTTAAGTTAGATATTCATATGCATCATTCAAAAATATCACATTTTGGATCACTTGATGGTATTAGGAAAAAATCTATATATAATTTGAAGATCTGAATGTTTAATATACATATAAATAGCATCTGATTAATTTCCCATTTTTTCAACAATAAAAGTCTGTTTAAATCACTGTTTACCACAATATTTTCCCTTCCAGTCTCATTCACTGTGTAGTCTGAGAGAACTAAGAAATTAATTGTCCTATAAAGGGCCATCTTATCTTCTGTGCTCTCTCTTAGCTTGAATAATAGGATTCCTGAAAAAAAAAAAAAAAAAAGAAAAAAAAAATCCAAATGTTTCTGTATACCCTGCCCATCTTAAATGCTGCTCAGGTACCCCTGTTTTGGAATAAGTGGATCAAATTCTCTGCAGAGTCTAATCCAGGTACATGCTACCATTGTTCAAATTGTATATGCTTGGAGAACAGCTTGTGGTGAAATCTGAAGGTCTGAATAAATTTGTAAGATTTTTTAAAGCCCAGTGGAATCATTTATCACCAGTCAAGTGATGGGGGACTTCCGTTAAAAGGTTACATTATTTATTGCTCTGCTCATATAAAAATAAGCCACTAGAGATGCAATATAAGAGAAGATCTGATATGTTAATAAAGCCCTAATGAAATGCCAGACTTGGGAAGAGGTTTCCCAGGAACCAATCTGTGATGCTGCAAGGGACCGATAGGCCATGCAGTTCCACGCTGTCCTCAGCTTTCCCAGCCACAGGTTTCTGATTTAATCGGCAATTGAGTTAGCTCCTATGAATTTGTCTAATCCCTTTTAATCTATTCATGCTCCTGGCCATCCAGATGATTGTTCCATGTTCTCTTATCCAAGTTCATTGACAAAACAGTCCAAGTTCAATGAACAGAGGCTGATTTCTGCTTTTGACTGCCACGCTGTCTTTCTCTCAATCTTTGCCTGTTCAGTGCTATGTTTTTGAGATGAGAATACTGGGTCTATAAGCAATATTCAGACTTTAGGTGTGCGATAATAAACAAGCAATACTTTGTTTCATTTGCTATTCTTTTTCTAACTCTTAAAATTTTGTTTACTATTCTGCTGAGTTTATGTATTTAGAGAAGTAGACACACCTTACAAGATCTCCTGGGTAGTAATAATTAATTTAGGATCCATCCCTGCTTAAGCTTAGCCAGGGTTATTTTTTCTCCATGTGCATCATTTTACATTTCTACCCATGAGATCCTGTCTGTCACTTCACTCAGCCCACTCGGTACTGCCACTTTTGCAGCATTTCCATGCCAGTTTTAGATGTAACTGTTCTGAATGATAAAAAATCTCCACTGTGGAAATTCACAGCTCTTTTCTACCTTTGTTCCTTAGCTTTTACCTTATTAATCCCCTGTGAGTAGATCTATCTTATCCCTTCACAGTAAGTATTCCACCACCAAAGACTCTTAAAAATTAAGCCTTCTAACATAATAATATTCATATTTTCATAAGCAACCTGCACATCAGATAACCTTAGAATTCCATTAGAAGCACACATGCCTGTAAATAAATCCTTAAAAAAAGGTTCCCCTTCCAAGGCAGCAGGGAGCATGCTGGCCAGGGTAATGTAGCTTAAGAGGAGACTCAGGCAGAGCTCTGCTGGAGAGAGCAAGTAGTGACAAGAAGATCCCTGGGATGTTAATGCAAGGAAAGGAGTCAGAAAGCAAACTTTTCATATTATCTATAAATGCACAGAAACCCACTTCTGCTGGATTTCTGTGGGTTTCAATAGTAATTCATCACATTTGTCCATGAAATCATGATATAACTTTCCAATGGACTCCTTGCCAAGCTGGTAGAGTTGTTGACTCCTTCAGCAAAAGCTTTCCACGCCTTACAAGCAAGCAGTAAGATCGTATGGCAACACATTGAACCAATACAGCTTCAAACGAGGAGTATTAAATATTCAAAAAACAAAGTGCAGTAGAAAAAGCTGTTTGACAGACATGAGCTTTGTTCAGAAAGCCACCTACTGTTGATCCTTTCATAGCACTGCAGGACAAAGTGCACTAACACCAAAACATTTATTTACCTTTATATGTCAGGCAAAGGCTGTTAGACTTAAGAGGCAGAAAAAGTGGGGAAAAGTTCCTTCTCTTTCCTCCATTTCAGTTTCTCAGGATATGGAGCTGAATCAGACTCTCATGGCTCTCCTACCTCCAGCTTTGATTTTAGCAGACATCACAAACGTGGATATCTGCTCTGTTCACTCATCAGGTGCAAGAATGCCAACAAAAACTGTGTATTAATAGTATTTCCTGCCCTCCCTTCCCTCACTACTGAAGTTGTGTCCTTTAAAGAACTTAAGTTACTTATGCTATCAAAAACATCTTCTGTAGAGTTTACAATGGCAAGCATAGGAATTTTAGCTATAGCATCTCAGCCATAATGCTTCCCCTTCTTTCTTCCTACAAAATTACTTGCTCTTTCATATAAGGCAGCCTTATTTTCTGATCTCTACTGATGTGTTGTACAGTCACAGAAATTTCAGACAAATCTCATTTTGCATACCAGCAACAGCCATGGTTTAGTCTTAGCTGACGTGATTTGATGTCGTGTTTTAAGAACTGATTTTGTGAAGGGCTCTGTGCAAATGTGAACTGTTTCGCTGTCAAGTTACTCTTTTACTTATTTGGGGAATCTAATCTGATGTGTGTGTGTGGCAGTTATAGGTCTGCATCAAAGGCAAAATAAAATCAAATTTTGTACAAAGTCATCTAGTCATATTTAGTGTATTTTAATGTATAGAATGGCTTCAGGCACTGCAACGTAAACCGGGTGCTTATTCCTAAGCAGCATTTCTGGAGTAAACTAGCTGTGTGTATATTACTAAAGGCATAATTAAATTTATAGTCTTACCTGAACTACAAGATTAAAGAAGCATGCAATTTATGGTTTGCATTTCAGAGCACTAATATTTTTAGTTCTCAGAAAATTTATTTTTAACACCATAAGCAGTGCTTTCATCCATATTAGAAGCAAAAGTCACTTTGAGTTGTGCATATTGTGACTTTGCATGAGATGTGCAATCTGTGTTTGTCACCATCACCTTCAGGAAACGTTTATCAAGGAACTGAGAAATTTGTTTTGTGGTGATAGAGTGTTCTGAACATATCTCTTGTTAGTGCTTTGCTTGATAATAGCTTAGATAGCCTAGATATTTCCATGAAATGTATGATTTATCTTTTGTCTTACTTTTTTGAAGTTGTCCTTAGATGTTAGTATTTTTAGGATACGTTATTTTAAAGGAAAAAAAATGCACTGCTCTAACACCAGTTTGAGGTGGACAGTGAGGCTGAACATCTTTGAGCTAAATGTGCCAAGACTAAAGTGTGGAATTTATTACACTCTATGACATTATTATGATATTAATAGAATAAATAGTCAAATTGAATTGTGATAAGCATGTTTATGACTAGTAGATGGAAAGAAAATAGCATTTTCTTTGGAGAGTCTTGATGGAAAGATAAGAATTGTCAGCTATAGCATATCTACTAAGTTAAAAAATGATTGAATAATAGAGGGAAAAAACTCTAGAAGACATATTTAGAGTAAAATTTAGAAAATTCAATGGGAAATATGGGAAAAGACAGAATAAGGACACAGATGGAGCACACAGGAAAATGGAGAACCACAAAGAGCAAAGAAGTGAACTAGATCTGTAAAGTTTTGAGAATGCGTGTGTTTATTTGATGTAGTAAATGTGACTATACACTCATAATTAACTGCAAATTCATGCTGGCATGTATCTAATTAGAAAACCTCACATCCCAATAAATCTTCTGTATGATTTCTGTTTATCAGTTAACATATTTGTGTGGAGGAGGAGAAAAATTTAGTAAACCCTGGGCACTTTCAGTAATAAAATCAGTTTGTATATAAAATAAATCATGTCTGTAGTATCTCTTCTGCAGTATACAAATAAAGGGATTCTGTAAATTCAGAGGTGGGAGACGACTTATGACTACTACTTATTGTGCGAGTTTATCCCCTTCATTGTTCTAATGCCTTATTTTTTTCCTGAACTGTTTATTATCTTGTCACATATCAGGTTTGTAAACTAGCTGAACCATAAAACTGATTTTGGGCTTTGTATGTATGTGCTTTGTATGCACATCTGAATTCTGAATTTTTAGCAAAATATGTTCTGAGTTCATGCAAATGACATTTCATAAGAATAACTGTTTTATGAACAAAGTATCTTTAAGATAAAATTTTCTTCTAAATGAGCTCATTTTCTTCTGTTTGTGAACATCATCACTTACTGCTGCATAAGCTAACTAAATATTATTCCTTGTCTAGCTGTACCCCATAAAATAGGGAGAATAATTGATGGAAGTCCTGCGGATCGCTGTGCAAAACTTAAAGTTGGAGACCGGATCTTAGCTGTGAACGGCCAGTCTATTATTAACATGCCTCATGCAGATATTGTGAAGCTAATTAAAGACGCAGGTCTCAGTGTAACACTTCGCATCATTCCTCAGGAGGGTAAGTCAATGGCCCTTAAAAACAGGAAGAAAATTTTAAGTAGCCTCCAATTAGCTTGAATTATGTCACTGCTTGAAAGAACATCTTTTGTTTCACATTTTCAGCTGTAACATACAGTACACCAAAATTACAGCCTTAGAACCAGCTGGAATACTATCTGAATTCTTGAAAAGGTTTCTTGCTATGAAAAAGGTATTTAAAGCAAACTTTGAGATACAGAGAGAGCAGAGTTATGGAGAGTTGGTTTTCATGTCATTTTGAAAAATTGCCTTCTACATGGAAAAACATCCTACCAAAGAGCCCTGTTCATCCCCTTGTACCCTGTTATTAACCAAACCTTTATGTAAGCAAAGTGACTGACGAAGAACCACAATGGCTGTCACCAGGCATGCTCACATACCAGCTAGCTGTGACAAAACAATGTGAAGGAAGAGTTAAGATTTGGTAGCTTCCTCTATATGTGCTAGGATAAGTGCACAAGACAGGAAAGAGGTGAATCCTAAATTATTTCATCAGTAAGGTGAGGATAAGGGGACAAACTTGTTAGTCTGTTCATTACTGCAGAGCTTATCAGTGGAGATCCTTTGATGTCAGCTTCATGGGTTTTGAGGTTGGTTTCAGGGCTTTTTTTAGCTTAGTGAGCTGCTGTACCGGTATATGAATTGTGCTGTATTAATAAGACCATGGCTTTACATCTCACTAACAAATACCATCAGAGCTAGGAATGTCACATACAGCAAGTAATGTAATTACTTAATGATCCATGCTGGAGTTAGTTGACCCTCACTTTGTACTGTTGCATCCAGCAATGAGACAAGGAAATAGCCTGACACTGGCCACGGATTGCCACTAAGGACACAGATCTACTTTTTTAATGAATTAAGTAGAGGGATGAACATATAAACACACACACAGGCTCAGAAAACATCCCAAAGAGCTAGAAAGATAGTGGCATACAATCACTGGAGTTCAGTTTTGCAAGCAGCTACAAACAAGAGTTTTGCTACATGTAGTCTATGCAGTTTATTCAGGCCTCCCTTGTACACAGAACTATGCATATTAACAAATTGCTAGTATTTCTGTGTTAGAAATGGGGTCCTGAAACTATAAGGGAAGCAGAGGTACATCTGGGATGCCATGCTACAAGATGTTCTCAGGTACTGGTGGTGAGGAACAGTTTGTGTCTGAGTCATGGCTTCCCCATGTGGCTATATGACACTGGACACCTCATTTGCCTTCTGCCATTAGCTTCCCGGTTTATAAAATTAGGGAAAAAAAAATCTAATACCTCTGTAATGTACTTTCAGGTGAAAAATACCATATAAATGCAAAGCAGCTTTAGAAGCAGTTTATGATCTGACTTGTTCATCCATAGTTATGAGAGTAATGTAGAAATGAGGGACAATATTCCCAATCTTTGCCTCTGAAACTCTGCAATACAGAAGAGGCTCACAGATGCAAAATGGGCAATTAAAGCCTTAAGCATAGTAATTACACAGACAAGTATTGCTTATGCCTGCATGAGGCATGTTTTAAGTGAGAGTGTACAAGCTTTTTTGACAATTAAGCCTAAATTGAAAAGATTTTTAATAAAGTAACCAAAATTTTTAGAACAATTATGAGCATAAATTAAAGAAGCAGAGAGCCATTAGAAACACACAGTCACAGGGGACAAACTCACTCACTAAATATAAAAAAAATAATAATTCAAAATTCAAACTGTATTCAAATGCCAAACTAGGCGAGAGCAGAATCATGCATACCTGTTGCTTTTTGGGGTACTAAGCCATGCACATGTCCTTTCTAGCCATGTTGTACCATGCTATGCTGGCCTCACTCATTCTGTTGCAAGCAGAAAAAAAAAAAGTACAACGTGTACCTTTGCTGTTGATAATGCATATGTGATTACTTGTGCAGTACTCTGCCCTCTTGCAATGGGAATCTCTCTCATTTATGCTTATTAACAGGCAGATGCTGAGCAATGCTGAGCCAGTGTGTTGGGAGAAATACATTCGATATAAGCTCAGTGCCAAATGTGTTTTCCCTGGTGCAGGGGAAAATCTGAAGGCACCGTGGCATCCCCTGTTTGTTAAGACCATGAGGCCACATTTCCTAGCCCAGCCTCTCTGTTGTTGTGCATTTTATATTGTTTGTAAAAAGGGTTGCTGTTTTTCTGCAGTGGCCCTATGTGAAGCCATGGTCGTTTGGCACCAATACAGTGAATACGTCAGGTTAGCTGGTTAGTCAGAATTTATTGAGACTGGTTTTACTGCTCACAGTCCCCAAAGATGTTAAATTATAGGGAACTCTTGTTGAGCTCAAACAGCAGGAGCTAACACAAGTGCACCAGTGGTTCAGCTTTTGTGTCAAGTCTGTCATCCCATAACAGCGCTGAAAGCACTAAAATCGTTCATTCTCTCAAAATAAAAAGTTTTCAAATATCAGTATTTCTAGGCTTTCACAGAAACCATGACACATGGAAGCTGTTTGCCCTCTTCATTTGGGTTTTAAATTATGAAGGTGTCAAACAGAGTGGAGAGTTGGCCAAGATTTCAGATCCCAGAGAAATTCAAGAGACGCCCATTAGCCTCAGACGTCTTAAAATCTAATTATAACCCAAGAGAGCAAAAGCAACAAAACATATATTTCCAGGGGTGGAGGGTGACCGACGATGACCATTGTCTACCTTTGCCTGTTATTAAATGCTGCCCTGTGACAGCTCTTTAATCTCCAGCTTCCCATTATGCAGAGCTGAACAGCCCGGCCTCGGCCCCCAGCTCGGAGAAGCAGAGCCCCCTGGCGCAGCAGCACAGCCCCCTGGCCCAGCAGCAGCAGCAGCAGAGCCCCCTGGCCCAGCAGCAGCAGCAGCAGCAGAGCCCCCTGGCCCAGCAGCAGAGCCCCGTCGCCCAGCACAGCCCCGTGGCACAGCCCGCACCCCCGCAGCCCCTGCAGCTGCAGGGACATGAGAACAGGTAAGAATATGGCTCTGCCAAGAGCTTGCTGCTCCACAGAGCCCGCGAAGCCTGGTGGGCCCTGACACCCAGTACTGCTGGGGTTGCACTCGCTGGTGGTGGATTGTGAGTGTCGGGCATCAAAAGCAGTATGGACAGCAGGGCGAGGGAGGTGATTCTGCCCCTCTAGTCTGCTCTTGTGAGACGCTACCTGGAGATCCCACTCTGCAGCCCCCAGCACACGAAGCACATGGTTGTATTAGAACAAGTCCAGAGAGCCATGAGGATGACCAGAGAGCTGGAGCACCTCTCCTGTGAAGACAGGCTGGTGGAGATGGGGTTGTTCAGCCTGGAGAAGAGAAGGCTCCGGGGAGACCTTACAGCAGCCTTCCAGTACCTAAAGGGGGCCTGCAGGAAAGCTGGGGAGGGACTCATTGGTGGGGGTGTAGTGACAGGACGAAGGAGGAATGGCTTTAAACTAAAAAAGGGCAGACTTAGATTAGGTATTTGGAAGAAATTCTTCACTCAGAGCGTGGTGAGGCACTGGCACTAGTTGCCCAGAGAAGCTGTGGATGCCCCATCCCTGGAGGCATTCAAGGCCAGGCTGGATGGGGCTTTGGACAACCTGGTCTGGTGGGAGGTGTCCCTGCCCATGGCAGGGGGTTAGAACTGGGTAATTTTTAAGGTCCCTTCCAACACAAACCATCCTATGATGATTCTGTGATTCTATGATTCTTATGACTAACATTATTCTGAACAAGGAGCTGTCCAGACTTCAAGGGTCCCCTGGGATTGTATTTTTGCCAGGAAACTAAATATGGAACTATTCTTTGCTAATAATATCATCAGCACTTACAAAACATAGGTCTATCAACATGTGATCATGAGGTGGTCTTTTTTCATTATCTTACATGTCATTTTCTTTTGCTGGTAACAGTTCTCCAGTCCTTTGTAACAGGTTTTCTCTAGGGTGTATCATTTTCCAGCCAATTTCTTGTGTTATTTATGTATATTCATTGACAAAGTTTATCTGTGATGGAAATGAAATAGCAGGGGGATAGAAAATTGGTGACCAGCTGTATTAACAGCTGTATATATAAAAAGCACACTCAGACTGTGCAGTGATACAACTTTATGTGATCTCCAATCAACACTTTAGATTAATTTTTGGCATGTGAAATGAGGCTGATTACACAGACTGTCTATATGCTAATCTTGAGCAACTAACATACCTCATCAAGACCCTTGTCCCCAAACAGTAGGTGCTGGTAGCAGAATTTTAACTTTTTGCTTCAGGAGGTACTTGAGCTCAGTTTTGAGTTAGGCATTGTGCCCTCTGGTTCTCCTTGTTTAACAGATGTAGCACTTTCACTTGCCCAAAAGGGTTTTCTCTCAATTAGTCACAGTTGGCAAATTTCTTTCCCTTATATTTCATTGAATGCTTCCCTAAAAATGATCACCCCCTAGCAGACATATGCTTCTAACAAAATGCAGGACAAAGCTCTCAAAAAAGTCTCCCTGTGCAGTTGTAAGTCAATATTAAATGTCTGTTGAATTAAGAATTTTCAGAAGGGACCTGTAAACCTTAGTAATTAAAGTTCCAAAAAGAACTTTTGCAATAGTTTAACTGAAAAGTGTAAATTGTAGTTAATCATGTCTCTGTTTACTTATTCCAAAACAATCACAATGCCTACAACTGTAAATAAAACCATCATTTCTGAGAAACAGCTGTGGTAGTATATTGGGAACCTGCCTAATGAGAGCTCTTATTCCAGATGAAGGTCTATTATTGCTAGTTCATACACTGTCACTATACACCAGATTTTATAAATCAGACTACATCTGGTTTATATAGCCGCATACAAGCTTCTGTATCAAAATTAAAATACTAAAAGATGGACTCTTAGGAATAGTAATCAGTATTTTTCCTTCACTTTTAATAAGGCTGAGTTATCACAGGAAGACTGCTTGTACACCTTTGTTTTACTCATGATCGTGAAATAGATCATGAAACTGAGTGGAGAAAATACGAGGAATCTATGTATACATACAGGTCGTATTATAGTTGCCACATACAAGCAAAGAACATGTGGCAGCGGGTTATTTCCATCTTCTCAGAAAAGTCCAGAAAAGGGAAATAGTTGTGGTATTCTCATGTGTGGTTGGACACCAAGCTAATTCAAGCTGGTGTGTAGGAAGACCTGTCAGAATGGTAGTGTAACTGCACTAAATAATGACATTTTGAAATATATCTAAAAGCATTTTAAAATGTTTAGATTATTTAGATTATATTTCCAGAGATATATTAACATGAGCAAAAACAATGCACTCATTCATTCAGACTGTCATTTATTTTAATCAGTAAGTGCTTTTCAAAATCACTTTCACAGTTGATGTGTCCATGTATTTATTGCATGTGTACATACACGTATAGAGTCACTTCGTTAACTACTGTGCTATAAAAGCTCCATTTACTTTGAAATGTCATTTTCCTTTATTCAGTTAACAATGAAAGCAATAGTTTATTTGTTATTAATTCCTCATTAAGCAGATTCGCTTTCCTTTCACCCTGAGTTGCTTCTGTGCATGAATACTGATACAGCCTGCAGGCTTGTAGCCAGGCACTATTATAAGGAGCATGTAGTAAGAATACACACTATATTAACTTGTCATATATCAAAGAATACCCTCCATTAAAAGATAACAGCTAATAGAAAGAATGCATCCATTTTTAACCTTTAGAAGCTCACAATAATAATCATTTACATCAATGAAACAGAAGGGCTATGAATGTCTGCACTGATGTTTTGTTTACTCTATAGAAAGCTTTATACTAGAGAAGGCACTTGATAAACTCAGTGGACTGTTTTGCAGTGAGTATTGTGGGGTGTTTTAAGTGCAGTTTCATTTTCCAGGCAGGAAAAGTGGGAATCAGGATGCTTTTCTTGTTCTTGTCCCTCTGAGCCTAATCCTGATCTCACTGATGGCAGCTGGAAAATTGCATGGTGTGACCTGAGGGAAAACTGCTTACACTCATGTTTTAGAAGTGCTCACTGATTTTGGATGCCTCAACTATTTACCCTCAAAAGTTTTGCTTATCTGTGAAAATTTGCTTTATGGAATTTTGCAGTCAGGCAATTTGCTTTCACTCCTGGATACGCCTTATAATACATATTTTTTAACTTTTTTTTTTGCTGCTTTCTGAAACTAAGCCATTTTGCCTTTCTCAGTTACAGGTCAGAAGTAAAAGCTAGACAGGATGTGAAACCTGATATCCGGCAACCTCCATTTACAGACTACAGGCAGTCTTCAACTGACTACCGCCAGCCTCCCCTGGACTACAGGCATCCTCCTGTGATGGATTACCAGCAGCCACCACCTCTCGACTACAGGCAGCCACCCTTGATGGATTACAGGCAACACTCACCCGACACCCGGCAGTACCCCCTGTCGGACTACAGACAGCCCCAGGTACAACCTGAAATGCTGACAGCACCCCTCAACGGAAATTATTACAGTTTGTAGAGAAAGATCAAATATATTATTAAGGCAGCTGATGTTACAGAAGAAAAAGCACCTTTATTGCTTTTACACAGAGTTACTGTTTCTCTGTAGAGGACATGAATCCAGAACCATTAACATTCATTAAGTACTTTGTGATCTGTCAAATAACACTGCATTTATAATCGTGTGACTACAATGTTAAATAAATGCTATTTTTGAGGTACTGGAGAGTTAAAATCAAAGTTCTAAAATAAGCTTCATTTGCATCAGCAGAAGTACTTAGGTGAGATGGGATTTCTACAGCATTGTTGAAAATAAACGTTTTACCAAATCTAGATAAATAAGTAAATACAATAATCCTGCCTGATAAAATTTAGTTTTGTGTATATAATAGTTTGGATGAGGATAAACTACCTTTTTTTAACCATTTTTTTTTTACATCGGGCACGATCTCACAAATTCAGAGGAATACACCTTGGATGAACGGTGTTGGAAAAGATGTTGCTGATGACAAATATTTACTGACAGTTGAGAATGGTTGAGGATCTTGCTGAATGTTCAGACTTTGAAAAGAAAAAGTTTACTTTTTTCTTACATAACTGCAGAGGAAAAAAGACAGAAATATATTAAATAACAGCATAAATGTCTGGTCACTGTATGCTGAAACCATATATAGATGTTATTTTTGCATCCATATTTTCAAGGAAAATACATAAACTCTTTTGATGAAAATATCCAAATTCTTAAACATGATACAGAGAAACTTCTGACAAGTTTATTCATTTCAGTGTCTAAAAAGCAAGTACCTGTCCCCTTATCTTACAGGATTATAAGACACTTCTTAGTGTCTAGAGATGCCTTAGCTGCCCATTTCTCACAATCCCATTTAATTTTTTAACCACTGGTGTCTACAACTCAAGCTTGCTCTTGTTTTCATCCTGTTCCCCATGGCTTCTGCACTTTTGGTTGCCGATGGATCAGAAGTAACAAAGCAAGTTCTTTCCTGGACCCCTCTCAGGTGCTGGTAGTTAGGGTCCACCAAGCAAAACCTGGAAAGACGAATCTCAGTCCCTGTAGGATGTGGAAAGGGTGAAGTTCAAACCTCTCATTCCCAACCTCCTCCTCAAAGCACATGTTTTAGCTGAAGTGAGGAGAGCTGCTGCACTTTGGGCCTCCATGCAGTCTGGCTTGCTGACCAGGTTGAGTTCTGCTGGGAATTTAGGAGGTGTGTCCTGCTAATTTTTAGGTTATGATGGTGTTTGTATAGGAACTGTCTGCTGCCCCTTTTGCCAAATCAACATTCTGCATAGATATAAACCTTACACTTGGATACCATGAATGTATTGAGGTAAAATACGGAAGACATCCAGAGAACTTTTGATACCAGGCAACCACTGGATGATGTCTTTCAGGATAGTTCAGACTTTAAGCATTTTAAGCATTTACATGTTGCTTAAGTTTGCTTTTAATGGCCAGAATAGGTGCTCTTATTCTCATCTATTCTGACAGTGCATAAGTTGAAAGTGAATTTGCTTATATTAATTGGATAGATGCACATTTGAAGAGATGTATTTTAAAGTTTTCTTGAATGCATATTATGCCATTTATACAGTTAATTGGCTTTCATTTTGTATTTTTCTATTTAGGACTTTGATTATTTCACTGTTGATTTGGAGAAGGGAGCCAAAGGTTTTGGGTTTAGTATTCGAGGAGGAAGGGAGTACAAAATGGATTTGTTTGTGCTGAGATTAGCAGAAGATGGACCAGCAATAAGAAATGGAAGGATGAGGGTAAGTAAAATACATTGTAAAAATTTTTGTCAACTTTAACTGATATATTTGGTGATGGCATCAAAGAGAAAACAGGTGTTGTTGTTGTTATTGTTTTCTGATTGTGTTTTGAAGAACCAATACCAAACACCTCTAATAATAAAAATTGGTCCTAGAAGAGTTTAAGAAATGGCTTGAAACAAATAGTAGGTCTGTGTAGTTCTTTTTGGAACAAAATGCATTACTTTTTGTTGAAAATAGCTTTTATTTTGTTATTTTTTTCTCTTTATTCTAGCACTCATAGCTAAGCATCTTCAAAATCTCTGACAAAACATTTATCATTTCTTTGATAATAGTATTGGCATAATTAACAGTTACTTCTCTAGTCACAAAAGCAGTGATAACTGTGTGACATTTAGCTGACAGTTATGATACCAAAGCATTGGTCTGTGTTATTTTACTACTTTAATTGCCTTCCTATTGTTTGCTAACTTTGTTAATTGATATAATTCAACCTTCTTTGTAGGAATCAATTTCACTCTTTGGCTGTATAGGTCTTAGTGCATTTGAGTTCTGTAGTGGTAGAAATAATAATACCATGTCTAAATATGAAATTTGATAAGAAATTCAATTATTAATATATATATACATTCTATATAGGAAAAATCTCCTAAAAATATCTAATTAAGGGTTGTTGATACCCTGCAGAGTAGCGATTACATGAAAACAACAGAAGGAAACCACAGGTGAAAAAGACTACCAAAAATCAAGACAAAAATATATTTCTTTATATATCTAACTAGTGTGACATTCTTGAATCAATATTTAGGTATAAAGAAGGGCAAAGGAAATTGTGTTCTTTACAGTAATAACAGGTTTTGCAAATGCTGTGGTTATTAAATGGATTCTGTTTCTCAGTTCTAACAATCTTGTCAAATTTGACTTCATACTGAAAGAACATTGACATCAGTCTAAATACACAGTTAGTCTTTCTGTTTATAACTCAGTGGGTTTTTGTTGATTTTTTTTTTTAATCATTCTTAAATTGCCCACTTTGTAGAATTTTAGAATTCAGTTAGTGCTCAGTCATATCACAGAGTTCAGATCTGTGAGCGTCCAACTGGAAGCTTGAGTGGGGGATCAATGGCATAAGCAGTCCCTGTGAGGAGGAAGCCAAGCAGGCAACTGGAAGCTGAGAACTACTCCCACAATATTTGTTGTGTGAAACATAGGTAAATGCTGCAGCTAGAACTTTAGCTCAAGAATATCTTCTCTGGTGGGTGTTATAATTCTTTCCTTTACTGTAGTACCATCCATTGCTCCTAATAAACAGCTTTAACCAGATTATATTTTCAACCACAATGTGATTAAAGATGAGAAAAAGTTGAGGATTTAATAAGCCCTGGAATCATGTATTTGGAAATATATGGCTAAGTCAACAGACCTTAAAGAACAATGTTTTTAGAGGGGTTCATGTCAAGTAAAAAACTCTATCAGGAAAAAAAAAAAAAAAAAAGAAGAAGAAGAAATTTCTGCATCATTTGCATAAACTAGTATCACAGAACAAAGTTAGACTATCCACCCTGTGAGTAGCCTAAATATGCAAAATTACATGCATATGTATATATGTGCTATATATTTTTATATTTTATCTGTAGGGAAAGTACAATTTCATTAGGAAATGTCCTGTAACTTTCCATAAAAAAATGTTATTTTTTTTTCTAAAATAACGTTTAAAGCTTGTTGGTATAGCCACAGTGCATGGCCAAGTGTAATTTTGCCTAAGTAGCTGTAACTTGGAGTTTTATCTCCCCTTTAAAAGTATCATTCTTTGAAACCAGTTTTACCCTCCAGCTCTGTCACTGAATCTTGAATTTTATTCTCCTGTTTAATAGCCATTTTAACCTGACAGCCACAAATGGGTTTGGAACTTGCAAGACTTTTATTTCCAGTGACCTGTAACTGATGGATGGACAGAACTATCTCAAAAACAGCTTCTTCAGAACAAAAACAGAAAAACAAAAAGAATCATTTAATTGCTGAAAGGAACAGAGGACATAGGAAGAAGAGTAAATGAAGCAGATTTCAGTAGTTGTATCTCCTTTCCTAAGTTTACATCTTCTGTCAATAACGCAGGTTTATTCCCATTTCTTGGCTGGGACAACCAGCCTGCTTGCTGCAGTTCTATTTCATTCTGTTTCACAGATGCATCTCTATAGGAAAATATGCAAAAATCTGTTCAGTCCTTATCACTTCATATACCATCATCTTTAAAGATCACATTCTCTGATCCCAGACTTTCAGCACTGGAATAGTAAATGGTGCTTATGTGGTCAGATCTTATCAGGAATGCTTCCCAGTTAATAGTTCTTCTTATGGTCTACTTATCTCCATTATTGTTTTGCTTCCTGTTTCCTGCTCCTTGAAAAGCCTTTCTTGATTTAGCTGAAGCCTTCTGGAAGAACATTAAGCAGATAACACAAGGTGCAGATCATACTTATAGAAAAAAATAATATTAATTTAAAATAATTCACATAACTCCATGATTATTTCTATTCACCACTACAAGAAAATTTAAAATAAACCAGTTAACTTGTTGGGGAAAAAATAGAAGAGGATATAATGAAAGATGTTAAATTAAAATATGTATGTGTAATTAGTAAATGTATTCAATGAATAACATTTTGTTGTCTGTCTAGTTATAATTCATTAAAAAAAATAAAGGCACATTCATATTGACATAAATCTCCTTCCTTACAGAAATAAATAAAAGAATATAAAGTACTTCATATTAATAAAGCAACATCTATAGTCATGGGTCTATAATTTTGTATTATTGAAGCAATGCAATGTCTAACTGAAGACAGCTCCAGATAGCCAAGTCAGAATCTGTAGTTTGTACTCAGTGGGCACTGCAAAACCTTGGTGATGGGATGAGCCCTACAACTGTATTCTGCTTGGACACATTCTAAAAAATGTGAAAGTCTCTCAGGACACATTTAAAAGATTCTGAGGTCTAAATACATCTAACAGTGTTATGCATTACAGACACAGAGAATAAATTTAAACTAAAATCTAAGATTATAGGAAGTCAGATGTAAATAAAGAACTGGTATGGAAATATGTCTTGTAAAAATAAATAGAATAGACACATTACTGAGGAAAGTAAGCATGAACGTAATACAATATATCTACACTAGGAGTGAACAGAAAGTGAACCAAATGGCAATGATAAAGATTGGAAAGGAGCGAAACCAAAATTGAAGCGTAGATGAAAGAACAGACACAGAATGAGTAGAGCAAGCATTGTAAGTGATGGGCTTCCACTGGCCCTGCCAGAACTCTGGCTCTGAAAATATTAATGGAAGGGGGGAAAGGTTTCATAAAGTTTGTTATCCCTTCACTTTTTCATTTCAAAAGTCCTGATTTTCCTCCCCCTTGAGAATGGCATGCCAGGCAGTTTGTGCTTTTAGTGGAAACAAATCCACTGAGGAACTCCCCGTTTTAGTAATGCAAGATCTAAAGTAGTGCTTAATTGCCCTTCGTAACTGATGTAGCTTTCTATTTCAATTTTCTGCTGATTTGTTCTGGGAACCTGAAAGGTGGAAGACTACTGAGTTGGTGTCATACAAAGTTCATCAGTCTTGCCTGCATACTGCTTTTCTACCCAAGGACCCCTTTCTGCCAGCCAAAATAGACACTGCAATATGTCTTAAGGTTTAATAAATTATTCCCTTAAAAAGAATTTTTAAACTTTTACAGTCTTACTACCCTGTTCTTATTCCTGGTACTTTTACATGCACTGAGTCTTTTATTTGAACTCAAAGACTCTGGTTCTGCAGAAAGCCCAGGCATACATCCTCACTTAACTTGGATTCATCTGTCACAAGACATGGGAGGGAAACGTCTATCAAAGGATCTAGAAGTCTATGGCAAGAGTATCTTCACAAGAGTATCTTTTGCCGCCGGTGCACAGTTATAGTCACAATAGGCACTTGCTGTTCTTCAATCCTCAGCAATTCCACAGCAGAAGGGTCTTGTGAGAGACCAGGCAGGGTAGACAGCTGCTTAATCTTCTCTTTGCTCAAGGCAGCTATGCCAAAAGCCCACCGATACCCTTTTGGATCCTTGAAGTACCTTTTCTTGAGGTAGTCTATGCCGAGGATGTACGGAGCCTCTGGGCCAGTCACGATGGGGTGCTTTTGCCACTCATTCCCAGTTAGACTCACTTCAGCTTCCAATACAGTTAGCTCTTGGGATCCCCCCGTCACTCCAGAGACAGAGATGAGTCCCCTCTGTATGCATTGTGGGTGAACTGTTCTCAGCCAGTGTTGGCAAGTCACAGTGTAGCTGTGTAGCTGCATATAAACCCATATGTCAGGTCAAATAGCATGCTTAACTTTGGCAGGATTTCGCTGCAATTCATGGGTAAGATTAATGAAGATTCCTTACAAATGACCTCTTTAGGGGGAAACCTGAACACTAACCTGGAAGATAATACAGATCCCTCATAATTGTCAGCTGGGCAGACATCAAGTTACGATGGTTAATTCTGAAGCTTGCTACAGCAACAGTTTACAGAACTTGAAAAATGTGGTTCAAAATAATTCCAGTAAACTAAATGAATGTTCACAAACAGCAAAATATCTTACAGCTTATAAGCACGGAAGAAAAGTTTCATTAGATATAAGGAAAAGAACATACAAGGAAAAGTAATTGTCCAGAACTTTAAGTGGCAGATAGACTCTCTGGGACCTCTGAGTTCTACAGATTTATTTCCCTCCACTTTTCTTCTTCAGGATGAGGGAACAGGAGAAATACAATACTCTGTCCATACAATGGCTAAAAGGAGAGAACAGGATGATATCTGTGTTCCATAATCCAAGAATGTATTAAAAGAACCAGGAGAAAAGCTTGGAGAATTATTAGTATCTTTGATATCTTATATCCAGAAATGGCAGAGGTCTGTTGGGAAAAAAAAAAAAATCTGAAACTAGTTCGTGATGAGATCAATAATGGCA